CAGCAGGCTTCTGTCTTAAGTGGGAAGTCTCCAGCTTATAGACACTGACATAAAAGTCACACAACATATTTCAAAATAACAGAGGAGAGGTTTACAAGGCAGGTTGATTTTAAGATGACTTTTATTGTAAAGTTACACTATCAATAGGCAGATCCCTTTTAGTGCAACCAAGTGAACCCAGTGCCTACTTCAAGGAAACAGCCAAGATGTGCTGACAGTGGAGATAGCTGAAATGTCTCTGTTACTCTTCTCAACATCCTAAACAGAAGGGAAAAAGGTACTCATGTCTGTGATTATAGAGGATAGAAGCACACCAATTTCAGAAGAGGGGCAGAAAAGCTCAGAGAGAGTTTTCTTAAGAAAAGAAAAGAAATCTCAAACTATAATGTGGGTTGAAAAAAACATCAATTCATCAGTTCTCACCAGGATCCAGGAAAACTGCTCATGTGAGCCAAACAATGGTATAGTTCCCATTATGGGCAGGTGTAACCCAACCAGGAACTCAGAGAATGAGCAAAGCTTTTCCAAGATGAAACATGACTGTGAACCAGTCACACAGGACATCTATGTCTAGTACTCAATGCGAGCCCCAGAATAATCACCCAGCAAACCTGTTAGGTCCCAAGAGAAGTCAGCTTTTTAGCCTTGCGGTCACAAGGAAAACACAGCTGCTTGAAATGCTTTATGGTAACTAATAACACCTTCGTCCTTCTCTGAAAAACAAGGGCTGACAGTTAGGAAAACAGAATTACATGTAGTCTACCAGATGTGAATCAATGGAAAAGCTAGAAAATCATGTCAAGAAACATGAGAAAAGCAATGAAATGAGGGATGGATGAGTTTCTTCACCCCTTTTTCTCCATCAAATTCCCTAGGAACCTACACTTGTTAACATAGTGGCATTCACTCCACTGCCAAAACATTGGAAGGTAAGACAAGTTTGTCTACTTGAAGGTGCCCAATGTGAGTCCACCAGTCTTCCCAGGAAAGAGTCTTTCCAGGGAAGCAGTCTTCCCAAGGAGAGGCCAAGTAGCTGGGCCATCATCCCCATTGCAGACCAGCAGAAACAGCAAAGAGAAAAAGTGGAGAAGAAAGTTAGGGAAGAAAAAAATGGAAACCTCAATTTGTGGAGACTCCATCTTTCTGGCTTACAGGTGCTCAGACAAGAGCCACCACATGTTTTAGGAGCCACTGGGGGGCAGCAGCACATCATGGTCACTCAGAAAAATCAACAGACAGCTTCCTGTTGTCTATACAAAGCCGATTTTGGGCTGTACACAATCCAGGTGAAATGCACCTGAATCAAGAAAAGAAAAAGACTTACAAAAACCTTCAAATACAGTATTTCACTGGAAATGAACTTTGCAAAGCTAAGTCACCCAATAGAGTAGATGGGGGAATCCATATTTTAAAGAAATGCCATTCATGATAGTCCTGATATTCAGAGACCAGTTTTGAGTTTTACAATCCTCCCACATATGCATCCTCTCTTCATATCCCCCAACAAAGACCAGACACTGAAGAATCTCCACATCATGCACATCTAGGAAAGCACATCTGTACACATGAGTTGTACAAACTGTGCACATGCATACCTCATGCACACTGGCCATAAACATGCATCTCCACATGTCACTTAAGACTGTTCCAGAACCAGGTTCTGAAGCCAACAGTAGCAACATTATTGTTGATACACACACCTTTCTCATCACACAGGATTCGTATTTCTCTTTCTGGGAAGTAATAAAGTCATTTTCAACCACATGATTGACATCTTTGACAGTATGTAGAAACAGAATTGATGTCTTTGGGATGTGTTGTCTAGAAGTGTCTGTCTTCCACAGGATTGGTAATTGCAGCCATTCATTCCCACTTAAACAGACTTGTAAACTGCCTTGGATATGCCATTAACATTTGACAGGGGTGGGGATGTTTTTTTTCCTGCCAAGATCATTTGTATATTTATGACATCATTCATGGATCACACAAAATTACCAAATTAAAAGTTATATGCTGTAGATTGAGTATCCAGTGCCACATGCAGTTGCCATGGCAGGGCCAGAACAGATGATTTCATGGACTGGCTGTTTCCCACCTCTGATTTAAAGCAAAATGTTAGCTAAAGTTCTGACTTCTTTCACTTTGGTTACTGGCCAAGTTGGAGCCAATGTCCACTAAAGGCCCCTGGAACCTACTGGAGTTAGAAGAAACTTTTTTCCATTTCCCTTGTAATTCTAGAGTGCACTTTCATAGCCACCACTTCCACTTCAAATTGTCTGTGGATGACCTAGTTCTGTGGCACACTGGTTTAAGCTACCTCCTGCAAAACAACCTTTCTATATGAGCACCAGTTCAAGTCTCAGCTCTCCACTTCCAACCCAGTTTTCCATGAACAGGCCTGGGAAAGGCAGCAGATATCCCAAAAGCTGTAAAGGACTTGTCCCACCTATCCTTTCCTCTCTTTTTTCTTAACCCACTTCCTCAACTTTGTGGAGACCCAAGTTGCCAAACCAACCCTTCATGTGTCCTTGCAATGCAAATAGCAAAGCTGATAAGTAGCACAGAGCATCTTGTGAAACAGAAAAGCTAGACATCCATTTTTCCCCAATTGCTTTCTACACCTACCCACCCCTTTTAGTGAAAAATTCCCTCTTCACTGGATAAAGCCTGCTGTCCTGGCTTACCTGCCAACAGCCCTCTCCTGAGATGGGCTGCACCCCCCTTTGCTTCCAAGAAAGCAAACTGTCTCTGTTGAAGTCAGTCTCTGTCTCCTTTTCCTATCTCTCCTTCTGAGGGTACAAAAGGCCAGAACTTGAGCTATTCCAAACCTAATAACTTGGGTCCCTGCCACCCACATAGGATTCCCAAAAGGTGTTCCAGGCTATATCCAGGATTCACTTTCCAACTGAGCTAAGGACACTATCCAGGACTCACTTTCTATTTTTACTTCCTAGATGGCCTCATTGTGCTCAACAATTACTAATCCATGAAACACCACAACACATGAATCACTGAAACACAGTTATGCATGTGAAAACTTCATTATCCTGAAAGTCAGAAATAGTTTTCAATGTCACACCTTCTACTCCACTATGCAGGCAACTCTGTAGAGAGGTATGCACTTATTTGTCATCTCTCTTCTTTCTTACCCTTCCTCACATTAACAACTTGTATAGATACTTCCACAGACCACAGTCATTATGAAACTATAGAACTAATATCCTCACATGTCAAAAATGTCATAGGCTTAAACATGGAACCCCAAACAAGGCAAGTAATGGCCCCTCTTCATTAAAACTGTATGGACTGTAAGATAATCAGCTTGGAGGATCATTGGGTGACTATAAAGAACTGGGCAGAGAAAAAGTATTACTTTTCTGTATTTATGCTTTTATGGTCCTCCACTTTATGCAGTTCCAGATTAAAATAACTCCAGTTAACCCACACAGTAGGTAGACTGTGTTAATTTCAGCTCACTTTGCAAAGAGATCAGTGGCAGGTAATTGATGGAACAAGGATATAAGCCATTCTTGCTCATCGCTCAAAAGATAGATCAACACAGGGCCAGTGCTCTGTGCAGTGGGTTAACACCCTGGCCTGAAACGCCAGCATCCCATATGGAAGCTGCTCCACTTCCAATCCAGCTCTCTGCTATGGCCTGGGAAATCAGTAGAAGATGGCCCAAGTCCTTGGGCCCCTGCACCTGCCTGGGAGACCCAGAGGAAACTGCTGGCTCCTGGCTTTGGATCGGTGCAGCTGCAGCTCTGGCCATTTTTGGAAGGCCCCCCCCCTCTGTGTTGTAACTTTGATTTTCAAATAAATAAATCTTTAAAAAAAAGATAAACATTGGAATGTATTCCTTGCCCTTGAATCTCAATTGAGTCTCACACCCTATTGCCCTCATACCCCACCCTGCATTCTTTTCCAAGTACCCAAAGCCCCACCCAGTTCCAGGAATTCCCCTCCACCTGCAGCCCCCTATCTCCACTCCCATGCCAATCCCTCCTAAAATATAAAAGTTACAGCCCCTGGGGATCCGGGCATCCTGCCACATAGTCCATCAATGTACATGAAGGCAGTTGGTCACACACCTCTAGGAATTTATTTCCTCTGAATAAATTCAGTCTGGCTGTAAATCCACACACTGCCTGCTCTCTATTCTGCACCTCTTTTCCTAACATTGTGGTGCCCTGTGTGAGGAGGCACCAATCTGCAACTCTTTTCCTAACAGTAATAACAGTTGACATCCTTGCTAACAGAAAGAAGGGCTGAAGACAGACATTAAAAAGCAGCCAAATAAAGCAACAGCTATGATTTCATGGCCTCAAATTCAAGATTGAAAGAAAGTGTGTCCACTAAACATGGAAGAGAGGTGAATCCACAAAGCTTCAGCACACCCTTCATACTGCTCCCGCTTGGAAAAGGAAAACTGAACACTAGGGTACCAGCTGCCAGCTGTGCCCACAGGGACCCCACCGGGCCAGCGAGCGCAGGATGCAGGCCTTGGAGCAGATTCTAGTCTGATCCTCCTTCTCCAACCCCCTGCCCCCTCGGGCTCTCTGCTGAAGGCTATCAAGACCCCCCTGCTGGAATGGCCTCTGGATATAGCAGGAGGCCCGACCAGATGGCATAGTCCTATCCACTCAAAGTGAGAACCGGCCTTATTTATATTTAAATAAATATATTTAAATATTTAGAGAAAAGGAATCTTGCTGATCTTCGCTGTGCTCTTATCTGTCCTACTTGTGCAGCTCCCCAATCCGTTAACCCTCCCCTTATAACTCTAAAATAAAGCACGTTAAGGAAAGTTTGGGCGAGGTAGCTTGCCACTGTTCTTGCGCTGGGAGGCTGCAAGCGGCTATGGGAGACGGGACAGCCCGGATTCCAGCCCTGACTTTGCACGGAAAAGCTGCCAGGATCACTGAGAAGCAAGTGAGCCACATCTGGGAGCCGCCAGCCGCCCTAGCACCCACCCCTTCCCCCGACACGAATCCGCGCACCTTCTTATTCTCCATACTTGCTGTGGAAAGTCCAGGGAGCACGTCCTCTTTCTTCCGGGCACAGAGGAGCAAAGTAGAGTGTGGGGCAGAGAAAGTCCCCAGCACGTGGGACCCACAGGCAGCAAATGAAGAGGCGCAGCAGCACGGGTGGGAGGCTCTGGGTGTGTGTTTGCAAACTGCCTGGGATTGCAGTGTGGAGCGAGAGGCAGTGACTGTGTGGGAAGGATCAGAGCAGTCAGAGCAGCCTCATGGTACTGAATGAGCTTCCTCTGTTCCTAACTCAGAGGCGCTTGGGCAGGAATGCGCACGCGCAGATTCTTTCCTAAAAGGGAATACGTCGGGACACCTGAGGACTCTGGGAAATGGAGTCCAGGCTGGGGCATCTGGCTCTCCCCAAGGGCTTCAGAGGGCATTTGCTTTTGTTTACATTCTCCTTCTCTTCCTTCTCACCTCAGAATCTCAAGGATCAGTTGGTATTCTTCCTTTCCTGAACAAAAATCTTAACGAGTGACACCCGCTGCTGATAACTGATACCCAAACCTTTGCTCCTCATAAAATGCATTCTTCTGGAAAAGTCTTATTTGCTGCTTTGTCCCTGGAAATTTCTCTCAAATAATAAATAACTACGAATACAATATAACTTTTTGAAGAGATGTGGAAGGCATAGTTTAACATCCAATTTTGAGAATACAATTTTTATATGTGTTTTATTGATGTTTATGATTAGTTTTTAAAGAATTTTATGTATTTGAAAGGCAGAGTTACAGAGAGGCAGAGGCAGAGAGAGAGACAGAGAGAGGGAGAGAGAGAGAGAGAGAGGTCTTCCATGCACTGATTCACTCCCCAAATGACTGCAATGGCTGGAGCTGAGCCTATCTGAAGCCAGGAGTATCTTCCAGGTCTCCCACGTGGATGCAGGGGCCTAAGTACTTGGGCCATCTTCCTCTGCTTTGCCAGGCCATAGCAGAGAAATTGATAGGAACTGGAGCAGCCTGGACTCGAACTAGCGCCCATATGGCATGCCAGCACAGCAGACAGTGGCTTTACATGCTACACCACAATGCCGGCCCCATACTTCTTTTCAAATTATTTTTCACCATCTTTTAATGCACCAAGCACAGAAACAAACAAGGGAACTGGATACAGAACTAACATTGTTGTGTGTCTTATAGGAGCCGGGTATAGAGATTAAATGCCTTACATCATATCATTTATACCTTAGATTAATTCTGGAGACAGTATCATCAGGAGTTTACAAAGAAGAAACTGAGGTACAAAGAGTTCAGCATTTACCCATGGTGATATCACTAAAAGATCTGGGTTCAAGGTCAACCAAAATCTACTACTGGTTTAGGAAATCTTTGTTTTGTCTTGGGGCTTAGTTTATAAAACCCCAGATTTCTCATCTGGAAAAACAGTGAGAAATAATCTACACTATAGAGAACCACCAACAATTATAACTTGTCTAAAAAAGGAAGGAGATTCAAAGTTGCTATTATTCCATGGTCATTTTTCTTAGGTTTAATATCAAGGAAGAACATATAAGTATTCTTAAGAATATGTGTGGGTTTTTTTTAAAGTTTCAAGTAAAAATGTAACTGGATAACTGGATGACATGGAGTTCTATGTTTATGATTACTTCTGTCCATTATAGTCCATGGGGTTAGGCTGTTGCTGGATTAGGAATGCTTAAACGTTCATCCATTTGCTTCACACTAGTATTTACTACCCTAGGCAATATTCTTTCAGTAGATTCCTCTTTCTTGCCAAATTGAAAATTTCATGAGAACAAGAAATGTGCTTGCATTGATATTGTAACTCAGCATCTTGACAGTCTCTTAATTGAATGAATAATTGAAAATATAAAAAATTAACAAATAAGATTTCTGACCTCCAAAAACTGTCTAGTAAAGGATTAAGTCTGTTTGATGGCTGCCACAATTAGGTGGATATATAATTTGTTGTTCTGATACAAATTTGATCATAAAAGGGACATGTAAATCAGTACACAGGGTTGAAAAGCATAAACAGAGATCATCCAGGGCCACACAGTTTAAATGTTCACTCTAGCTATGCAAGACATTCCATTCATTTATTTAATAAGCATTTATTGAGCAATCCTTTGTGTGGTGTATTGATAGATCTAGGCACCTGGAGTGCCTGCTGAGGCCAACAGATACGTGGAGACCTAAAGTCAGAGGAAGGAGGAAGCACTGCTGCAAGGTTGGAGAGTTGCCATAGCAATGGCATTTTCAGGGGGTGACATGGCAGGGGCCCTGGGAAGGTGGGCTGATCTCCTGATCCTATGTCCTTTCTCTTATGCTCCTCTAAGCTTTGCTTGGGTTGAGCACAACAATCTGGGTGGGTGATGCTGAGAGGCCACCAGATGAGATTCTGGTTAATGTATGCAGGCTGTGAGTCACAGTGCACAGAGTATGTGCAACATTAGGTGTTGGCCAATGTGCTCACCCACATGCATGATCTGAGTGAGGGTCTGACACAGGGAAAGTAGGGCATAGGGTTTGTAAGACAGACTGGTGAGTGAGTGAACTGGCTGACTTCTTAGCTGGGACTACTAGAGAAGGGGAGGAGAGGTTTGCAGGCTAGAAACAGAGCAAAGAGATGGCAGTTAGTACATCCCATTTGCCCCTTCCCCAAGATGCGCAGCCAAGATTAGCAGCTAACTTAAATCTGAATTGGTGGTAGTAGTCATGTTGGAAGTTGTGAAGAAGGGACTAATGTGGCTAACATTCTGCCTGTCCTTCCTGCAAAAGGTCCAGCAAATAATATTTCCTTAAAACAAACATAAGCATGCACATAGTGTGAGGCTTTACAGAAAGTTCTTGCAAAATATAAGTACTCCTTGCAGACTTGAAACATGTTATGTGTGTGGCCACTCATTGGGATTTGTAGTTTCATCATTAGGGCTGGATTTTGCCTCTGGTGGGGCACTAAACTGTGTCTACTGGAGTCTCTGGCCACTCCTATTGCATTTACCTTTGTTAGTCATTTCCTCAGGTTCCCAGCTGAAAGGCACCAAACATGAATCTCTTTAGCTAAAGACTAAAATCTATCTGAACTGCAATAGATTGTAATTGGGTAAATTTTCATTACAAAGTTTCTACCAGAGCTTGCCTTCATCAAAGTCTGTTTTATTCTGACTTTTTCATGCACAGTGATGGAGCCAGGACAAAAAGCCTTAAATCCATGTTAACCTCTCACTTACATAACAAGCAGTCCCCTGTTTCTCTACCTTGCTAATACAATCCCACCTTGCATTGATTATTCCTGCCCTACCTGGCCTATTGGACACAACACTATTTGAAGACTCTTCATATCAGTCTGAGAGCTCTCCATCTCCTCCCAAGCTGTCTCCCCCTTCTCAGATCAGCCTCACAGTCCAGCCTCAGTCTCAACCCCTCCCATCTCACACTGTTATCTCAAAGGACCTTTAAAACTAGCCCAAACTCTTCCTCTGTCTCAGCAGCCCCCAGCTTTGGCTCAAACCTCCAAGTCCCTTCCAGCCCCTTTGTATTATATAAACCACTAGTCTGCAAGGGAGGGTGTGTTTTTTTTTTTTTTTTTTTTTTTTGCTATGTGTTCACTGGCAACTCTCTTTCATGAATTCACCTGAGAGGGAGCCCCTCCCAGGTTTTAGTCTTCCAAATAAAACTGGTCTGACTGTGGCTTCATGCTTTCTCCTCTTTCCTAACTCACAGCATGTCTTGTTTTGAGGGCTTGTGTTTGGAGATTTAAGTATACTACCTCAATCTCCTACAATTTAAAGGCCAATTTATGGCCAGTGCCACAGCTCACTAGGCTAATGCTCTGCTTGCAGCACTGGTACCCTGGGTTCTAGTGCCGGTTGGGGCACCGGTTCTGTCCCAGTTGCTCCTCTTCCAGTTCAGCTCTCTGCTGTGGCCCAGGAAGGCAGTGGAGGATGACCCAAGTGCTTGGGCCCTGCACCCATATGAGAGACCAGGAGGAAGCACCTGGCTCCTGGCTTTGGATAGGTACAGCACACTGTCCATAGCAACCAATTGAGGGGGTGAACCAATGGAAGGAAGACCTTTCTGTCTCTCTCTTGCAATTTCCAACTCTGCCTGTTAAAAAAAAAAAAAGCCAATTTATAAACAAGGACTTGGAGTTTAACACTACTGATGTGTTTCTATGATCTAAGAAATTCTCTTGGCTGCTTTTATTGGGAGGTGGGTGTCAGGAAGGGAGTTGCTGGTGTTATGCCACCACAAAACACACCAAACACCAGAGTAAGGGAAAGGTTTTTTGGGGGAAACCTAGCAGACTGGAGGGAAGAGGCAAAGAAGGAAAAGGAGAATAAGAGAGAAAGAGGAGAGAGGAGAAGAGGAGCTAGCTAGAGAAGAGAAGAAGCGAAGAGAGCCACGTGTTCAGGAACAGGTCCTTTTAAAACTTTGCTGGAGGGTGGGCAGGGAAGCAGGAGTTGCAAATCCCATTAAGATGGGGTGGGGCTGACACAGGTGGTTGGGCCATGTGGCTACCTGGCTTTTGGCAATGGTGGTGGGGACTAGGGCCTAGGATGTAAATCAGAGTGTAGATTGCACCATAGATAAAACTGTGCCATTTTCCTAACAGTTGGGAAGAGATGGATGAGGTTTCCTTTATGAATTCTGTGGTACTTCACTAAAGCTTTTAACACTTTGGAGATTTAAGCTCTTCAGATTAAAAGCTCATTAACAATTCCTACTCAAAGATGCTGAAAATAATCAGCTATCTAGGTTATAGACCTTAGCTGTGTTCTTACTCCAACTTGAAATTTCTAAAGAGGACTTCACTTAATGTTTTGAAAGTGAAGTTTTCAGGAAGAGAAGACTAAGAACTATGCTTTTTCCCTTTACTTAGAATTTAGTTGTGTTAAGAAAGGGGAGTGTGGAACCCAGGGACTGTTGGGAGGCCTGACCTCCTAATGGCTACCCATGATTTCCTACAGCTTTTTTATGTAAGTGAAATCAGATGAGAAAGGTTAATGTGCAAGCAAGAGGACTCTGGCCATCAATATATTGTCCATAGTGGAGACTAGGGTGTGGGGAGCAATCCGGACTGGACTGAGTTACTGGAATTAAGACTTATTCTATGCATCTGCTCTCCCACAATATGGCGCTGGGAGAGAAGTAAACAGCTTCCGCACAGCTGCCTCCAGTTCAACTAATAAACTGTAGGACTTGCTCCTGATTGGAGGAGAGCAGCGTACTCGGTGTGTGGGCAGCCGAGTTGGGATTGGCGGAGGAGGACTATAAAGGAGGAGAGAGACGGCATGCACCAGGAACATCTA